CGGATCTCGTCTCGAACCTAATACGTCGTCACGTTCGGAATAGCCCTGGCGCCCAAATGTGGATCTCCCAGTTCTGGTAAGATCGGCGCCGATACCTTTGACGAATACAGATCTTCGTAAAAATAGCGGCAAACACGTCAACCATACCCCTACGATCGGAAACATGTTTATCTCCGTCCAGCACACTCGTCATCAACATTCTTCTCACCAGGGTCTCATGTCGAGAGATCTTGTCCAAGCTGGCAGACTCGTCAAGAGTCTCGTGGATGCGGACGGCCGCTTCAGATTTGCGACAGCGTTCGATATCTTTCCGGATGCGCCTGTTCAGTAAAGCTCGCCGTGCGGGGTCGGACGCGTCTCTCCGGGAAGCAATTTGTTCCCGGATGCGACCTCGGAGCCCATTGAGGTCGTCCCTCTCGTCATCCCGGTTCGGCTCTCTCTTGTTGTCGGCAGTTGACGACCGCAAAGCGTCTTCGATGAAGCCTGTTTGGTGCCTTGCATCCGCGCGAGGCTCCTAGGAGCGCATCTTTGATTACAAAGTCTTTCTGAAACCCTTGCTGTCTATCATGCTCCATGGTGTCGCACGTTTCTTGGATTGCTGTCGTAACGGCTACTCCTTGGGCGTCTGGTGGAAAGCCAGCGTCATGAGGATTGCACGGTGGTCAGATCCCATCCCCAGATTTGTCACCGAACCGCAATTTTGAACATGTTTCCACATCTTTCGGTCTATGATGATATAACCAATTTGTCGGGGCCGCCCATTGTTTCCAATGTGTGTAGTTCTTTTCTCGGGCGTCTTCGGGAAGAAGGTGTTGGCGACAACAATGTTCTTTAGTGTTGACCGCTGCTTAAAGCACTGCCCCCGAAACGTCTCTTACATTAAGACCGAAACGTCCGATCATCTTCGAACTGGCCGCGTCTAGCTGGCTCCCAAGTTCATCATTAATATCGCCTCCAAGGATCGTTCTGTACTGCTTGCGGTGTGCCTTTGTGCATATGCAAAATAAGGATGTATCCATGACATGCACGTGGTTGTCGGCAAATCTGGCATGGAGAAGATACGAAGAGATTAGCCGTCTGACCTTGCCGTGGACCTTAAAATCGACATAGACCAAACGGTCATTCACAAAAACGGTGTTTCGGACTGCGCTCGCCCATCGTTTCTTGATGACAACAGCCACGCCCCGCTGGTGTAGCTCATATCCTGCACCAGCGAACGAATGCCCTCCGTCCAATACAATAGTCTCCTCCCGACGTGTCCGCGCAGTTTCGGCAAGTAAGACTGCATCCCACGTGACGCCATGCATCTCCATGAGAAGCTCGTCCAAACGAGCCTCATTTCTGAGACCTCTGACATTCTTGAAATACACATTTAAGTTAGAGTTGCCAAGGTGGTATCGTCCATGCGCGATACGTGATCCACAGCCTGTCCTCGAAATAGCCGGGCCTAAGCTGGACCGTCAACGCCACCTGCACCAAGCATGCACAACGGCACGTCTCCAGACACATGGTAGTACGTCCCTCTCCTTCCTTCCACTTTTCCCTGCTCCACCCAAAAATGTCCTTGTAGAGGTTCGTGGTGTCACTGCCGAGCGTCGTGGCCATGTTTCTGAAGATTCTCGCGGGGTGTTGCACAAGCGCCTTCAAACTATAGAATAATCGTTGGTACAGTTGGCTAATGTGGTTTTACCCCAACCTCCACGCGTCCTGGTATTGTCAGGTTTGCTCCCTGCAGAAGAAATAGCGGACTCGGCTATCGAACTTGTTGCTACCCCGATCAGTCCTCACTGTTCTCTTTCGCGCTGTTCTTCTTCGCCATCCCTTGGTGTGTAGCCTACCTCGTGTATGTCACGTGTTTGTGCTGTCCCTGTTCGTGCCGGTGATCTTCGCGAACCTCTTCGTGCTGAACCTCTTCCTGACTTTTCCTATTCATGCCGATGGTTTCCCTAAAATTGATTCTCAACCCTCGGATGCCTGGACGGCTACCTGAACAAGTACGAGGCCCTGAGTGACAAGCGTCGTGTGTAGTTTGATCACTGGCTATGCTCTAATGCGAAATACCCTCGGCCCAGCTGCTGCGAGGACCCTCTTGGCATGATGAAGTACAGTATTGACACCAAGTCATTGGACCTGTTAAACGATCTCCGAAAGAGGCTTGGCAAGCCGTCGCCGAAGCTCTCTGATATACCTCGTGCTCCGACTGATGCCCCCCTGTGCCCCCGCCTGTCCGAGCCCATGTGGCTGTGAGTCGTGCGAACTTGTTGTGCGAATTGACTTTCCAATTCAATTGCCCCAAAATTCATGACCTTAAACCGCATGTAACCACCAAGTCGGGCAAATACGTTTGAAATCATTGTGACAGCCCTATTCGTGCCGGTGAGCGGCTGTTGATTTGCACGACTTGTGATATAGATATATGCGAGCAGTGTCAAGACACGGTTGCAGCCAGCAAGGTTGCCGTGGATCAGTGCAAGTGAGCGCGGAGGAGGAGAAAGAAAAATGACATGTCCTTTTAGAGGTTATGCTTCGACTGGCACTGGTACTCTGTGGCCTTCTTCGCAGCTTGTTAGGTCACATCTCCTCATCCGCGTCGCCCTTTCGCTTGTTCTTCCAGGCCGTCGTGAAGATTCTGACTGTTTCTTGTGCGGTTTTCCCTTCTCCTTCGCACTGCAACCCTTTCCGCTCCTTCTTCTCCCAGGCGACTCTCTTGCCCTTCAACTTCCACCACCCTCTCCTTCCACTTAAGTTTCATGTCCTCCAGCTTGTATCCTTGGCCTTCGTTGTGCAACAAACTCTTAACTTTCCCCAACTCCTTGTCGATTGTACGCTTCGCCAGTGTGTCGTTGCTCTTGAAACGCATATTCGAGCTGTATCACGCAAATGTTTGAAGGGTCGGTGTAAACGAAGATGTCGGTGTATTTGGTTCTTCTTCCTAAACCGATAACATGTTTCTTGACCTGATCGATGATGTCCTCCTTATCCTGAGCCTCCTGCAAGCCGGCAGCAACGTCTTGCAGCTCCCGGATGTCCTTCTGGATCGTGTGCTGATTGTTGGTGGCCGGGATGGTGCTGGACCGAGTCCGAACTGCAGTGCGAAGCTCCCTCGGGTCGCGCTCGAGAGTGTTCTCCTTTTCGTTCAGCTTGGTGATCGGATCCTTGACCCGGGCCATCTCCGACCTGACGTTCTTGAGCCCCGCCATGGTCTTCCCGGCGGTGTCGCTGGCGATCTGGACTGTCTTCTGAATGCTGGCCATCTTCTCGTCCGTCTCCTTCTCAATGTCTTGCATGTCCTTCCCCATTCCTTTCATCATGCCCATCATTGCCTTCATCATGACTGTCATGTTCATCTCGTCTTCTCCTCCAGCTCCCATGCCCAAGTCGTCACCAGCGTCGTCGTCGTTTAACGTCTTCGCCAACTTCTTGTTAGGAGCCTTTAGGATTGCTCCCCTGAGGCTTCAATTTCCGGCTGCCTCCTCTTTAGTTGCAGTCGCTGTTTGCACAAATGAGGAAATTTCGGTGTAGGCTTGAACCAACTCGCAGGCTTGAACCACTTTGCAGGCCCTTGAACCACCTCTCAGGTCCGTCAAAGATGTTGCAATAAACCCTCCCTACAAGTTCATTCATCATGGGTTCCTACAACTGTTCAGTTTCACTGAGGGCGGTGCCCCGTGTTGGGAGACAACCGTTTTTAAATCCTGAACCGTGCCAGAACACCGTTCCTGGGACTTCAACGCCTCGAATCCGTACTACTGTTGCGCCCTGTCAGAGCGCCTTTCCTGGGACTTCAACACTGCGAATCAATATAATTGTTGCGCCCTGACAGTTCTACACCGTGCCAAAACATCATTTCTGGGATGTCAGCCATGAGAGTCCGTAAAATTGCTGTAAATTCTCAAGACGAATGAGCGCGGCACTAAGGGGTGGAGGAGGAGGAGGAGGAGGAGGGAGGAGGGAGGAGGAGGAAGGAGGAGGAGGAGGGAGGAGGGAGGAGGGAGGAGGGAGGAGGGGGGGGAGGAGGAGGAGGGAGGAGGAGGAGGAGGAGGAGGAGGAGGAGGAGGAGGAGGAGGAGGAGGAGGAGGAGAGGAGGAGGGGGAGGGATGAGGACGACGACAAAGACGACGGCGACGACGACGACGACGATGGCAATGCTGACTCGTGGTTGCAGCGAGGGCTCTCGCAGGTGCGGCCCTCCAGCCTCGCGCCAGCGGCGCCCGGCCGCGCGCCCCGGGCCTCGATCGTCCAGCAAGAGAAGCAGGCGCTCCGCGAGCTGGTGCAGCTCTGCGAGGAGCACCGGCCTTCGCTGGCCCTCGGCGGCGCCCCCGGCGGCCCTCGGAAGGCCCTCGGAAGGCCCTCGGAGGGCCCTCAGCAGCCCGTGGCAGCCCTCGGCGGCCCACGGCGGCCCGCGGCGATCGGCAGCCCTCGGCGGCCTTCGGCGGCCTTCGGCAGCCCTCGGAGGGCCCTCGGCGAGCGGCAGCCCTCGGCGGCCGCCGGGGCACCTCGGAGGCCCTCGGCGGCCTTCGGCGGGCGTCGGCCACACCCCTCTTGGACCTCCAGGCGTTGCGAAGCAATGACTCGGCGCGCGCTATTTTTGCCGTGCGTCTCGCTGGTTTCGCCCCCCCCCCTGGGGCATTTGGAACATTTTTGGGGCATCTGGGAAATTTTTGGGGCACCGGGATTAACTATCCGACTCCCCCTCCCGTCCCTGGCCGACTCTGACTGGCCGACTGGCCGACTCCCCGACTGGCCAACTGCGGAGTCGGAAAGCTCTTCCCGGTGCCTCAAAGATCGTCCTTCTCCCCGGGGTCGGCTTTTTGGGCCCCCAGGGCTCGCAGCCAACGGCTGGCGGCGAAGACGGGGTCCTGTAGGGGAGTGCAGCGGGGCCCGCGCCGTGAACAACGAGCGCGCTCCACAGAAACGCCCTCGCCCGCGAGAGGACCGACTGGGTCGACACCGCTTCCTCGGCGGAGGGCCGGCGGGAGCCAGCAGAAGTGCAGCGGAGACGGCGCCGCCGACGGAGCGCCGCCGACGGAAGCCAGTGGAATCGAAGAAGAAAAGTAGCCACAAACATAAACTTGTGGCGCTCCGCGCGGATCTCTTGGATCGGCGCTGGGCCCCCTGGCGGCGCCTCCGGCGCCGCCCCTGGCGCAGACCCAGCGCAGACCCAAGAAATCCGCGCGGGGCGCCGAAAGTTTATGTTGATGACGTTTATCTTCTTCTAAGGAAGGCTGACGTAAGCCAGCGGAAGTCACAGATGCGTCCTCAAGAGATGCCAATTCTGGGGTGTTCTAGGCTTTAGAGCTGGCAAAGCCTACCGCAGCGTGGGAGGCTGGATGCCCGACGGGCCTGGCGGGGTCCAGGGCAGCCAAACGGACCCCCCCGCATGCCCAAGGCAGCATTCAGTAACGCACATGATCCTATGGGTCACTCCCCAAGGGCGCTCATACAGTCGTGCATCGCGGATAGCGGGGCGCGATGCGCGAAGTTTGGTGACCTAGATCTTATGGGTCTCGACGATCTGAGTTGCTTCCGGGCTCGCGGATGGTTTTGTCTCGCTGCCCCTGCGGCCTCTGGACATTTCGGTGGCCGGTCGAACATGGTGTGAGGAACGGCTGGAGCTTCTGGAGGAGTTGATGGGCATCGCTGCCGCGACCCCGCCAGCCAGAGGTTTCAGCCCCGACATCGCAAAGGCGCTGCTCAACGGCCTACCGCCCGCCTCCGAGGTGGCCACCGGTGCGGAGACAGCAGAGGCCGCATCCACCGGAGATTTCCTGGTGACAAAGGTGGCAATACCGCTGGAGCAGCGCGCGGACTTCGTGAAGTTCCTACCGCTGCGCAACCCACGGACACAGTCGCCGACTCCGACGTCGGGCCAGCAGACTCCCTCCACGCTCCTGATGGCCGTTCAGGTAGACGGGACCATGAGGCTGTTCACTCCTGAGGGCGAACCTACGTTGACGTTCTCTACGGAGCATAGCGAGGACGTCGTCTTGGTCGCAGTCTCGCCTCTCCACGACGAGTACCTCGTGGCGTCGGCCGACGCTGGGGGCCTGGTCAGGGTGCATAAGGTGACCGTGCGATCGCGGCGTCTTTCCAAAGAGGAAAAGGGCGCTCGGAAGAGACTTTACGACGACCAGCTGTCGCAGTATCTGGGGCTTCAGGTAAACGTGACGGTACAGTTTACCAAGCAGATTAGGGTGTGGACCAAGAGGGAGCTTGGAGGCCGACAAGCGCCCAACCTCACGGCGATGGCCCTAGCATCCGTGCAGGGTACCAAGTATTTCGTAGTGGGCGACTCCGATGGGAGAATCAGTGCCTTCACGCGCAACGGCACGCTCCACGCCCGCATGCGCCCCACGAAGGCGCCCGTGGAAACCCTGCACGTGCACTTGGGAAACCTGTTGTGGATGGCTAGCGGCAGCTGGGGGTTCGTAGATCTGGACGCCAGGGAGACGAGACGCATGGATTGCCCGTTCTTCACGGGAAACGCCACAGCAGTGGCCGTGGACACCCACACCAACTCCAAGGTGGTCGTCGCAGATGATGGCGGCGGCGTTTGGGTCTACAGCCACAAGAATAAGCGCGAGTGTAAGCTTGAGCACCGGTTCCCGCTCGGCGCGGTGCGCGACCCCGTGGACCTGGCCTCGGTCCGGGGCTTTGCCCTCGCGCTCGAGCGGGGCACGGAGGCGGGCGGGGCCTCAGGGGGCCGCTCGGCGGTGGTGGCGCTCAACATGAGCCACGTGGGCAAGCGGAGGTCCGACCCCGCACGAGCCGCCCAGGCTGTGGTCTGGCGCCGGCCAGGGCCGCGCGTGCGGGCGTGGGCGGTGCACCGGCGCTACCAGATGGGCGACCTCATGGCCCTCCTCTCGGAGGACGGCTCCGAGATAGAGGTCGTCGAGGTCCTCATGCAGGTCTACCAGCCGCCGCCGACGGACGATATCTCGAGCTTCAAGCTTCCCCTGTTCGCCGTGGCAATCTGCCTCGTCATGGGCTTCCAGTACGTGAAGCAGAAGGGCGCGTTCGACCCAGGGCTCATGGACGGCGACGGCGGCGACGCTCCAGCCAGCGAGTAGCCCGCGGGTCCGGCCGCCAGGGCGGGGTGGCGCGACGCCGCCTCCACGCGCGGTGGGGGCTGAAGAGCGCGGCAGCCAGACGCCTTCTGCGAGGCGCGCATGCGCGCGCATGTGCAGGCGCACGTCTGTGCGAGTGCACGCGTGTGTGTGCGCCTGCGAGTGTGAGTGTGTGAGTGTGTGAGAGTGTGTGTGTGTGTGTGTGCGTGTGTGTGCGTGTGTGCGTGTGTGCGTGTGTGCGTGTGTGCGTGTGTGCGGGTGTGCGTGTGTGCGTGTGTGCGTGTGTGCGTGTGTGCGTGTGTGCGTGTGTGCGTGTGTGCGTGTGTATGTATTATGGTATGTGCACACATGTAAACATACAAACATCTACACATATTCCTTCTACCTATGAAATTAGAAGAAAAAACGGCATGTCACCGTCCCCCCCCCCGGGCACCAGCACACGAACCCCAGACCCTCTTCCCGGCACCTCGAAGAGGCCTCAAGACGGCCCAAGAGGCTTCCAAGACGGGCCCAAGAGGCCTCAAGACGGCCCAAGAGGCCTCAAGACGGCCCGAAACAGCCCCAAGACGGGCCAAACGGGCCCCATGACAGCCCAAGAGGCTTCTAAGACGGCCCAAAAGGGCCCCAAGACGGCTCCAAGAGAGAGCCCAGACGGGGGATCCGAATGGACTTTTCGGGCTGTGGCCCCAAGAGGCCCCCAGGAAGCGCCAAGAAACGCCCTGGATGCCTCCAAGAGGCTCCCAGAGGCCCCCACGAGACTCCCAAGAGGCCCCCGAGCGGTCCCCAATAGCCCCCCAAACGGCCCCCAACAGGCACCGAACAGGGCCCCAAGAGGCTTCCGAAATGCTTCCTGGAGGCCCCCAAGAGACCTGCCCCCCAAGATTCTCCAAGAGAGCCACGAGACGCACAAATATCGCTCCACGACGCCCAAGATAATCCCCATACGGCCCAAGACGCATTCAAAACGCCCCAAGAGGCGTCAAAGAGGCTTCCTTAGAGGGCCCCAAGAGGCAGAAATGGTTGTTTTTGTTGTAGGCTCTGGAAGGTTTCTTTGGGCCTCGCCTTTTCGGCTTCCCGACGCTCCAAGACAGCCCAAAAGGCCCCCAAGATCTCCCCAAGACCGCCCAAGAGGTCCCCGGAACAGCCCCAAGACGGCCCCAACGGGCACCAAGGCAGCCCAAGAGGCCTCCAAAACTGCCCAGAAGGGCCCCAAGACGGCTCTAGAGCCCAGACGGGGGATCCGAACGATTTTTTCGGGCTGTGGCCCCAAGAGGCCCCCAGGAGGCCCCGCGAAAGGCCCTGGAGGTCACCAGGAGGCTCCCAGAGGCCCCCACGAGCGCCCCAAGAAGCTCCCGAGCGGTCCCCAAGAGCCCCCCAAACATCCCCAAACGGCCCCCAACAGGCACCGAACCGGGCCCCAAGAGGCTTCCAAAATCCTTCTACGAGGCCCCCAAGAGACCTGCCACGAGCTCCGAACGAACTGTCCAGATGCTCCCATCAGGAGCCCCGGACGCCTCCAGGACAGCTTCAAGCGCGCTCCAAGGCCTCCCAAGATGGCTCCAAAACGACCCCAGATGGCCAGTTGTCGTCGCCGAGTTCTTTCGTCGTCGTCGTCGGCAGCGGCGGCGGCGTCGTCGTCGTCGTCGTTGCCGTCATCGTCGTCGTCGTCGTCTTCGTCGTCGTCGTCGTCGTCGTCGTCGTCCCAAAACGGCCCTAGAAGGCTTCAGGACAGCCCAAGAGGGCGCCTAGATGACCAGAAAGGACCCCAAGCGGATCCCCAATCAGGCCTACAGAGGCCAACTTCATTAACTTCCCACTGCTTCAGCTTCATCACCTCTCCGGTAAGAGTCTGAAGAGATTCCCAAGAAAGTCCAAGGAGGTTCCAATGACACTCTCGACACCAACTCTTCGACAATCTCCTCCCCTCCTCCCCCTCCTCCTCCTCCTCCTCCTCCTCCTCCTCCTCATCCTCCTCATCCTGATCCTCATCCTCATCCTTTTTTCCTCCTCCTCCTCCTCCTCCTCCTCCTCTTCCTCCTCCTCCCCCTCCTCCCCCTTCTCCTCCTCCTCCTCCTCCTCCTCCTTCTTATTATCTCCTCCCCTCCTCCCCTCCTCCTCCTCCTCCTCCTCCTCCTCCTCATCCTCCTCCTCCTCCTCCTCCTCACATCATCATCATCATCATCATCATCATCATCATCATCCTCATCCTCATCCTCATCCTCATCCTCATCCTCATCCTCTCCTCCTCCTCCTCCTCGTCATCCTTTCTTCTCCTCTTCTCCTCCTCCTCTCCTCCTCCTCTTTCCGTCCTCCCCCACCTCCTCCTCCTCCTCCTCCTCTTCCTCCTCCTCCTCCTCCTTTTTCTCTTCCTCCTCCTCCTCCTCCTTCCTCCTCCTCCTCTTCCTCCTCATTCTTCTCCTCTCTCTGCTTCCCCTCTGCCCCTCCCTTCTCCCCCTCCTCCCTCTGCTCCTCCTTCTCCGCCTCCTCCTCCTCCTCTTCCTCCTCCTCCTCCTGCTCTTCCTCCTACTCCTCTCACTCATCCTGTAGTTCGTTGTCTTCCTCCTCCGCTGCCTTGTGAAAGGCCCCAGACCAGAGACTGTTACCACCAGCTCCCCAGAGACACCCAAGGGTCCCAAGACAGACCAAGGGGCCCCAAAGAGGGCCCACGACAGGCAGCCAGGGTCTGGGGAACCACAATTTGATGCGCAGTTTTCATTTCGTCTCAGGAGCCCACGGAAATCTCGAGATGACCTAAAGCATACCCCAGACCCTACACTGCTGTCATCAGCTCCCCACATGCACCCACGAGACTCCTGGAAGGTCCAAGAAGACCCCACCACGGGCCTACGACTAAGCTTCCTCCTGCTCGTCCTCCTCCTGCTCCTCTTCCTCCTCCTGTAGTTCGTTGTCTTCCTCCGCCGCTGCCTTCTGAAAGGCCCCAAACCAGAGACTGTCATCCAAGCTCCCCAGAGACACCGAGGGGCCCCAAAGAGATCCCACGAGGGGCAGCCAGGGTCCAGGGAATCACAACTTGATGCGCAGGTTTCCTTTCGTCTCGGGAGCCCACCGCCTCCTCTCTCTCTCTCTCCCCTCTTTCTCCCTCTCCTCACCCTCGCTCTCCTACCTCTCTCCCCCTTTCTCTTCCGCCGCACTCTCCTGATCATCCTCGTCTCCTCCCTCCTCCAGCACGGCCTTCTCACACTCTTCATTCAGCGACCCCGGGAATCAAACTCTGATGCTCAGCTTTCTTTCGAGCTCGTTCACGACGACGACGACGACGACGACGACGACGACGACGGCAGCGGCGACGACGACGACGACGACGACGATCTGGACCGCAGCGTCACTAGAGACACGTCGGTGCAAGGATACATATTAGAAGGCGAAGCGCAGCGAGCCCTAACATCTTGTGAATATATACATCTGTGTATATATACATATAACTACATAGAACTATATTCACACGCGCCTGCTGTGCGAGCGTGGGTGCGTACGTGCATGGCTAAACGCGCGGGCGGGCATGCGCTTTCGTGCGTACTGGTGGGGGCATGGGTGTAGGCATGGATTATTATGTGATGTGGGTTCGAACAGCACACAGACCTCCGACGTCGTGATTTTCCTACAGCGTCGACTCCCTGGGCCCTTGTCCTGGGACTGGCTTGTCATCCTGAGCCTCGGCCCCGAGGCCTGGGAAGGGCCCCCAGAGGCCGAAGGGGAAGTGAGCAGGGGCGGGCCTTCTCAGAAGGCTCGCAAGTCCCTGGGCTTTCTGAGTAGTTCTCCAAGCCTGCCTCGAAGACGCGAAGCAGTTCTCGGAAGGCTGGAGGGCTTCTGAGAAGCCCCGCCGCCCTCCGAGAAGGCCTTCTCTCTCTCACTCCCCCCCCCTCGCCCGCCGCGGAAAGGCGCGGGGAGCAGGAGGGGCTCCCAGAGGCCGAAGAGTGCCATGCCCGTCCCGCGGTGACATCTTCCCGCCGCCAGGGGCCCAGGGGCATGGCGTGGGGAGGAGGAGGAGGAGGAGGAGGAGGAGGAGGAGGAGGAGGAGGAGAAGGAGGAGGAAGGCGGAGGAGGAGGAGGAGGGGAGGAGGAGGGAGGAGAAGAAGGAGGAGGACGAGCGGAGGACGGAGGAGGAGGAGGGGAGGAGGGAGGAGGGAGGGAGGAGGAGGAGGAGGAGGAGGAGGAGGAGGAGGAGGAGGAGGAGGAGGAGGAGGAGCGCCCCTCCGCTCGGGCTGCCGCGGGGAGTGGGCGGGGCAGGGCTTGTGGCAGCCGGGCGGCGGCTTCCCAGGCGTGGCGCCCAGCCCGCCCTGCCGCCTTGTGGCCTCCCGCGGCGCCGTCCGAGGGAGGGCCCGGTTCCGGGCCTGGTCCCGGAGGGGGAGGAGGTTGAGGAGGAGGCGGAGGAGGAGGATGAGGATGAGTGGAGCGGAGTGGATCAACCCAGAAGCGGACGAGCCGACGCCCCCGCCGCCCTAGGCCAACCGTGAGGACCATCATTGCTGGAGTCGGCGCGAGCTCGCATAGGAGGCTTACCGCGGCGAAACGCACAAAAGGCGGCGCGCGCCACTAAAGGCAGCAGCGCCGCGAAGCGCGGCAGACGCGCGGAAAAGGCGAGAGACGTACCCGACACGCGCGCCAGGGGGCGCCACGTGCGCCAGGAGGCAGCAGCTAAGCCGGTAAACCGCTCTACAAGCCCGTTTTGACATTCCGAGGCCTCAGATAACGACACGCCGCGCGTGCCGCCCCGATCGGCCACCCGAGGAGCACCACTCCCTCGGGGACAGCCCGCCCCCACGCACGCCTTGGCGGGGAACCGTGACCGTGGGAAGAATGGACGGGAATCCTCCGATGAGCCCCCCCCGCATAGGGGAACCGCGACACCACCCTTGTCCCAGCGGAGTACTGGGAGGGCCACGCAAGGGTGTCGCAGCAAAACGTGGCAGACCCACAACCCAGGCACGGAACACGGAAGGAAAAGCCGCGCATTGAAGCTTTGGACTGCCACCGCCCGCCACAAGGACGAGTCGGGCACAGCCCCGAGACCCCCGGCGCGCCCCTTCCCCGTGGCGCAGGCTGGGACGGCCTACGACTACCTTTTTTCTCTCCCCCAGGGTCCCGAAGGAGCACCTGGGGTGACGAACGGGAGGCTACCCGCCTGTTTCCCTGGGGAGGGATCCCAGTGGCACAGGTGCCAGGAGGAGGAGGAGGAGGAGGAGGAGGAGGAGGAGGAGGAGGAGGAGGAGGAGGAGGAGGAGGAGGAGGAGGAGGACGACCCCTCCCTTCTCCCGACGGCTTCGGCGGGCTCCGCATGTCGCCGCGCCGCTCGTGCCGACGCGCGGCCCCATGCCTCGGAGAGGACGCCGCGGGCACCAGGGCGGGCGCCGCCTCGGACGCGGCGGGCTGTGCCGTGGGTTTGCCGCGGTGCCGGCTGCGTCTCCTCGGGCTCGCCGCGTGGTGTCGGGGTCGCCTGCTTGGCGGCACGTCTGGGCGCGGCTCGCCCGCCCCGCTCTCGCCGTCGGGGCTCCTCCGACTGGCCGTGCAGGCTGCGAAACCTCTTTGTCGCTCTGCACTTCCTCCACTTGCCTCCTCCTCCTCTTCCTGCTATGCCCCCTGCCGGCCCCATGAGATGAGAAGTCTGGGTCTGCGGCGTACTTCATTCGCAGGGGATTTTGCAAGTCGTACCCCGCAGCTCCTTTGCGGGCGTTTCGACGTTGACCCCCTCATGCGGATGTCCTGTCCTGTCCTGTCTTCCTCCTCCTCCTCCTCCTCCTCCTCCTCCTCCTCCTTCTCTTCCGCAGCCATCTTGGCTTGGTTCCCCGGCCCCGAGGGGCCCCGACTCCAGATCAGGTGCACTCGAGTTGGTTTTCCGGTTTAAGAGACTGTATCGGGAATGCACCCCAAGCGATGCGAAGAAGAGGGCTGGAATTCCCGCCTCGGAACAGCTGGATGTCTCAGCAAAAGTAGGGCGGACACAGCGACGGCAAAGTAGGGCGGAAATCGGCATCAAAAGAGCTTGAACTGTAGACGGACATTTCCGTCCTTCCTGCGAAGTCGCCGAAAAAAAGGCGGATCGGGAGTCAGGGCAGGACTCCAAAGTGTTGGAGTCGTCATTTTCTGCATTTGGCGGTCCTCGCTGGGCCCCGGGACCGTGAAGAAACGACCTGGGGCGAAAAGTTGGTCCTTGGGGAGTGGTCCAGAGCTCTAGGGACCCCGCCTCCAAGCCTGGAGGTTCGAGGATGTTTTTTTTTTAACTTGTTTTAGACAGCTGATTCTGGAAATTTTTGGGGCCTCTGGAGGCCTCCAGGGGATCTCTGGCAACTCTTGAGGCTCCCCGAGGGTGGCGAGGGGGGGCGGCGCCGTCGGTGGAAAATGACGACGACGCCGACGACGACGACAATGACAACGACGTCGACGACGACGACGACGACGACGACGACGACGACGACGACGACGACGACGACGACGACGACAGTGACGACGTCGACGACGACGACGACGACGAGGACGACGACGACGGCAAGCTAGGTGCGCTCGCGCCACGTTTGGCATCATATCCCTCCTTAGGTCTTTGCTTCCCATTTCGCTGGTTTTTCTCTATCCGCGGACGCGTGTCATAGCCGACCTGGAACATCAACAACAAAAGCCACCGTGTCGTGCGGAATCAGAGAAGGAGAGTTGCGTACATATTAAGAGGAGGCGGAGGAGGCGGCGAGTGAGTAGGAGGACGGGCAGGAGGAAAGGAGGAGGATGTGGAAGGACGAGGACGAGGACAAACAGCAGCAGCAGTAACTGGAGTGGGAGGAGCGGGAGGAGCAGGACAACCAGGGGAAGGCGGCGGAGGGGAAATGAGGGCGGCGACAACGATGAAAAAGCACACGGATCCGGAAAAGTAGCCCACGCTGAAGCGAGAGTGCAATCTGGACGACGGGAGCACAGCGCCGATCCGATAATGAGGCCCGCGATGCAGCGGGAGCACCGTTTGGAGACACCGAACGCAATCAGGTTGGTCTGAGAGAACACATTGGGAAGACCACCTTTGTCCAGTTCTCTGTATAAAAAAGCAATACGCGGAGAGAGCCAGCTATCTTCCAAACGGAGTGGTATCTATAATATGTAATTGTAGAAGGGCCCTTCTCTTCCTCCTCCTCTTCCTCCTCCTCCTCCTTTCACTCGCCAAGTTTTTAGGCCCCGATCGAGCAGGCGACTTGTCGAACTCGCCCAGACTCCGCGCTCACTTCGCTTGGAAGTGGCGTTCCTGCGCGGGCGCGGCGCCTGCTTCGCTCGCCGAACCGCATGAGAGCGACAGCGGCAGCGGGGTCGCGCGAGAGCGGGCGAACGTGAAAATGGCGAATCGCTCAAGCGCCGCGCAGCTTGTGCGTGAACATGGCAGTGCTTCGTCGGCGCGCCGCATGCTGCGTCTTCGCTGCGCTCATCGGAACTGTGGCCGCCCAAGAGAGGGCCGAGGGGTGCTCTCGCCGCAGCGCCGCGCAGAGAAGTTCCGAAGTTCCGCTCCCGCCCATGCGCGGCACGCGTGGCTTTCTTCTTCCTGAGCCGTCGGAAGCGGTGCCGCGCGCGAGCGCATTGCGTTCGCCAAGCGGGAACGCGGTCCAAGCCCGATACCAGGCTGTGTCACGAGTGCTTCTTATGTTGTGGGAGGGAGGGTGGGAATGGGCGGGGCCTGCTCCCACCTCGCCCTCCTCGCCCATCTCCTCCTCCTCCTCCTCCTCCTCGCAGGCGCAGGCCCACTCTGGTAGCGGACGGGCCGAGCATAGAGTCGCTCAAAGTTTTCTCCTCCTCCTCCTCCTCCTCCTCCTCCTCCTCCTCCCCAGATCTCCTGCGTCGTGTTTTCTGTCACAGCGCAGGCCCCCGGGGGGGTGGAGTCAGGGGCAACGGTAGGAGGGGGGGATAGACTCAGGAGGGGAACGCATCGAGCCCCTCCTCCTTCTCCTCTGTAGCCATCTTGGCTCGGTTCGGGGGCCCCGAGGGATCCTGACTCCAGATCCGCGGTGCTTGAGTCGATTTTCCGACTTTACGACTGGTGTCGGAAATGCACCCAAAACGACGCAACTAGTAGAGCGGAAATTCCCGCCTCAGAGGAGTAAGCCGGATAGCACAGTAACAAAGGAGATCGAAAAGTAGGGCGGACATTTCCGCCTTGCTTTCGAAGTCGCCCGAAGTTCGGCGGATCCCGAGTCAGGGCCCCCGGAAACCATCCCCCGCTAAAGGTCCCCCCTTGGTTTGGGGGGCATTACTCGGCTCCCCGGCGGCCGCTCGGAACGCTCCGGGCACCCCCAGAACGCTCTCGGCCAGGCGCAGCCGCTGGGACGCACCCCGAGGTTGCAAAGCCGTCCAGATCCCACGAAAACGCCCCAGGCATGCGGCGTCAGGATTTTCTCAATACGGGGTCCATGGAAGTCCCGACCATTTCCCTGGGACCCCTTTCTCATCCCGAGCCGTTTCTTGACGGTCGCGAGGCCCAGCGAAGGCCCTCCGAGGCCGAAAACTGGCAACAAAAACCTCCCGCCTTGTTTTTGTTTTTGTAAACGGCGCGATCATGTCTGGGGCCCGACAAACCTCGGACCTCGATCGGCGTCACCCCAACAGACTTAAACTACCTATACGACCACCCTTCGGGTGATAAGGCGGTTGTGGGGGGGGAGAGGGGTGGGAACCAACATCTGATTCAATCGATCTCACTATCGATCTCTCTCCACGGGACACCACGGGACACTGTTCGATCTGCCGATCTCACTATAGATCTCACTATCGATCTCACTCAGCGGGACACCACGGGACACCGTGGGACACCTCTCGATCTCATTATCGGTCTCACTATCGATCTCACTATCGATCTCACTCAACGAGACACCATAGGAAACCACGGGAAACCGCGCGGAGCAGCCCGCCGCATCCCTTGCCGCCTTCCTCTGCCAGGTGGTGCCGCCGACGCCTGGCAGAGCGGCGGCGGCGGCGGCGGCTGCCTCGCCGCTCCATGGGGGAGGGGAGGGGGGGAGACCTCCTCCTGCTCCTCCCCCTGCCCCTCCTCCTGCTCCTCCTCCTGCTCCTCGTGCTCCTGCTCCTCCTCGATCTCCTCCTCCTCCTTTTCCTCCGCCTCCTCCTCCTCATCGGCCTCCTCCTCCTCCTCCTCCTCCGCCTCCTCCTCCTTCTCACTGACCTCCTCCTCCTCCTCCTTTTCCTCCGCCTCCTCCTCGTCCTCCTCCTCGTCCTCCTCCTCTTCCTCCTCCTCCTCCTCCTCCTCCTCCTCCTCCTCCTCCTCCTCCTCCTCTCCTCCTCCCCCTCCTTACGTACCCGTACTCACCTCCTCATCCTCCCCCTTCTCTTCTTCTTCCTCCTCCTCCTCCTCCTCCTCTTCCTCCTCCTCTTCCTCCTCCTCATCCGCCTCCTCCTACTAAAGCACGCACTCACCCACTCACGCACCCACCTCCTCCTCCTCCTCCTGCTGCTCCTCCTCATCCCATCATCCTCCTCCACCATCCTCCTCCTCCTCCCCTCCTCCTCCTCCTCCTCCTCCTCCTCCTCCTCCTCCTATTCATCATCATCCTCCTTCTCCTACTCTCATCCTCCTCCTCCTCCCTCCTCCTTCTCCTCCTCCTCCTCCTCCTCCTTCCTCCTCCTTCTCTCCTCCTCCTCCTCCCTCCTCCTCCTCCTCCTCCTCCTCCTATTCATCATCATCCTCCTTCTCATACTTCTCATCCTCCTCTCTCCTCCTCCCCTCCTCCTCCTCCTCCTCATCTTCCTCCTCCTCCGCCTCCTTGTCCTCGTCGTCGTCGTCGTCCTCCTCCTCCTCCTTACTCACCTCCTTTTCTTCCTCCTCCTCCTCCTCCTCATCATCATCATCATCATCCTCCTGCTGCTCCTCCTCCTCCTCCTCCTCCGCCTCCTCCTTCTCCTCGTCCTCCCTCTCCTTTTCCTCCTCCTGCGTGACTCTGCCAGGCGGGACGGCCAGTAGGTGCAACGTGCAGGCAGTTGACGAACCTTGGCCCTGAGGCTATTCACTCCTCCTCACTCTCCTCTTTCTCCTCCTTCTCATCCTCGTCTTCCTTCTCCTCCTCCTCCTCCTCTTCCTCCTCCTCCTCCTCCTCCTCCTCCTCACCCACCTCGTCCTTCTCGCCCACCTCGTCCTCCCCCTCCCCCTCCTTCTCCTCCTCGTCCTCCGCCTCCTCCTAGCTCACCTCGTCCTCCTCCTCCTTCTTTTTTGGTCGGTCGGTCGAAGCGCATGGTTGCGAGAATAGGGCGAGAAGACCAAAGGGTGAAGAACAAAGCAAAGGCAGTAGCAGAGCCAGCACGGGGATGCCAATGCCTCGAGCGCCAGCAGGCGCAGGCCCACTGTGGCAGCGGGCGGGCCAAGCATACAATCGCTCAAAGTTTCCTCCTCCTCCTCCTCCGGGACATAGCCCAGCGCAAATGCCGCCCGTCCTGCTGCCATCCCACTCGCACATTAGAGGTGCTGACCTCCAGGACACAGCCCGGCGACCATGCCCGCGGTCCTGCCTCCATTCCACACTCGTACACCATAGAGGCATCGCCCTCTAGGACACAGCCCAGCGGCGAGGCGGGCGGTCCTGCTCCCACTCAACACACGCACACCAGAGGCTCTGACCTCCAGGACATAGCCCGGCGCAAATGCCGGCGGTCCTGCTGCCATGCCACGCGCGAGTCCAGAGGTATTTACCTCCAGGACCCAGCCCGGCGGCAATGCCGGCGGTCCTGCTTTCACCCCCAATCGCACATCATAGGTGCTGACCTCCAGGACATTGCCCGGCGACAATGCCGGCAGTCCTGCCTTCACTCCACACTCGTAAACCATAGAGGCATCGTCCTCCAGGACACAGCCCGGCGGTTAGGCGGGCGGTCCTGCTTCCACTCAACGTTCACACACCAGAGGCACTGACCTCCAGGACATAGCCCGGCGTAATGCCGGCGGTCCTGCCTTCATTCCACGCTCGCACACCAGAGGTATCGACCTCAGGGACAGCCCGGCGGCAATGCCGGCGGTCCTGCTTCCAGTCCACACTCGCACAACAGAGGTATAGACTCTAGACCCCCAGCGGACATGCTGGCGGTCCCGCCTTTGTTTTACCCCTCGAATGCGGCGCGTTTCTACCTGCGCTGGGCTCAAGTTCCACACTCGCGCACAAGAGGTATTGACCTCCAGGACACAGCCCGGCGCCAATGCCCGCAGTCCTGTACAGTTACTGCCCACATTCAGATCACGAGATAGGGCCCCACATTGTTGCACTCATTGCAATAACAAGCTTTGTGTGTGTGGTTTCTGTGTCCTGCTGTCCGACACGGCTTGGGCAGGCCGGCCCATCCACCAACGCATGCGCGGTGCGTGCCCGGCCTCCCAAAATCGCACGCTGCACGAGCGCCCTCTGTTCAAGATTGAGGCGCCCCCGGGGGCGGACAAATCGTGCACACCCGGGTACCCAGTAATTGATGCGATGCCGCTCTGTGTCTCTCTGTCGGTCCCCTTCGGCTGGCGCTGCGTGCAAGGGGGGTATGTTGTCCCCGCCGTTGTAGCGTTACGGCTCAAGCTTAGCGTCCATTGTGTCAGCACTGTCTGCTTCACCACAGTCATGCTTGGCAGCGCAGCAGCACAGAAGGAATGAGGTTGAGTTCCAGACCCGCTTCAGCTCAGGGCAGTGTGAACTGGCGCTGGCCTTGGAAACCCCACCGTGTCCGCAGTTTCGGTGTCCTTCCCCTCATCCCCCTCCTCGTTCCTTCCACCTCAGCAACCGTGGCTCACGACGGCCCCGCTGTCCGATGATCAAGGTCACGGGGGTTGTTCGGGCTGTTCCCTGAGCCTCCAACCCCCCCCTCAATGCAGCCAGTACCACGGGCGGACGTTCTGTGTTCTGGGTGCGCCCACAAGGCGCCACAGACCAGGGGGGGTGTTTCGGGCTGTTCCCTTAGCCCTAAGGACCGCCCAAAACGGAGTCCAACACCACTAGCCTGCGCAGGCGCCCCCGTTGGCTGTGGGTTGCGCCATCAAGGCTCCACACACCACCAGGGACGCTTTGTCTCTTGACGGCCCCGCCGTTGGATGCTTAAGAGCGTCGTCAAGGAACCGCCAGTCAGGTGGTTTGTTCGGACTATTCCCTTGGCCCGAAGAACCCCCCCCCCCGCACCAGAGCTCCCACCACGAGCGGCCATTTTCTGTTCTGGGTGCACCAACAAGGCGCCACAAACCAGGGGGGATGTTCGGGCTGTTCCTCTGGCCCGAAGGACCCCCCCCCCCAAACGGTGGACACCACTGTGCACACTGTAGCCTATGTAGGCGCCCTCGTCGGTTGTCGGTTGCTTGCGTCCTCAAGGCGCCACGCACCACCATGGCAACCTCAGGGTAACGATCGGTTCGTCTTCTGCTCTTCGTTTTCTTCGCTGGTCTTTGTCAGGCACCCGTGCATCATTGGTTTACCTTTCAGGGGGTCGGGTCCTTACCTTTCGGCTTTCGGAGGCCTCTGGAAGAGGTGGCGGGCCAAAAGGAAGGGTCGCCGCGCCCTGCCCCTCCAGGGGCCCACGGGCGGGCACGTACGGCCGGCCCATGAGAGCCGAGCCCGTATTCCCGCTACGCCACCAGCGCCGACGCCTTTGTCCTCTCTCTCTCTCTCTCTCTGGAGGGGATGAGAGGAAGTAGGAGGAGGGGGCTTTGGACACCGTGCTCACAAGTACATTTGAGGAACGCGTGCGGGCACGTAATTGTCCACCGGACAAGTCGGCGTGCTGACCACACCAGAGGGCTCATCAATCAGAGCGTGGAGCACGCACGTTCCGCATTGTGAGGGGCGCGTTCGCATACGACCCCGGCCTTTTCCCATGGGAGTACCTATCGCACCACATAAGCTCAGGATTTCAAGGATGAGACTTCCAAGCGGTCGTGGATCACCGAACTTTGTGGGTCGCCTCATCCTTAAAGATGGGCTTAGGCGCCCTGAAGCCTATAGCATACTTGGCAGTCCTCCTCCTCCTCCTCCTCCTCCTCCTCCTCCTCCCCAGATCTCCTGCGTCGTGTTTTCTGTCACAGCGCAGGCCCCCGGGGGGGTGGAGTCAGGGGCAACGGTGGGAGGGGGGGATAGACTCAGGAGGGGAACGCATCGAGCCCCTCCTCCTTCTCCTCTGTAGCCATCTTGGCTCGGTTCGGGGGCCCCGAGGGATCCTGACTCCAGATCCGCGGTGCTTGAGTCGATTTTCCGACTTTACGACTGGTGTCGGAAATGCACCCAAAACGACGCAACTAGTAGAGCGGAAATTCCCGCCTCAGAGGAGTAAGCCAGATAGCACAGTAACAAAGGAGATCGAAAAGTAGGGCGGACATTTCCGCCTTGCTTTCGAAGTCGCCCGAAGTTCGGCGGATCCCGAGTCAGGGCCCCCGGAAACCATCCCCCGCTAAAGGTCCCCCCTTGGTTTGGGGGGCATTACTCGGCTCCCCGGCGGCCGCTCGGAACGCTCCGGGCACCCCCAGAACGCTCTCGGCCAGGCGCAGCCGCTGGGACGCACCCCGAGGTTGCAAAGCCGTCCAGATCCCACGAAAACGCCCCAGGCATGCGGCGTCAGGATTTTCTCAATACGGGGTCCATGGAAGTCCCGACCATTTCCCCGGGACCCCTTTCTCATCCCGAGCCGTTTCTTGACGGTCGCGAGGCCCAGCGAAGGCCCTCCGAGGCCGAAAACTGGCAACAAAAACCTCCCGCCTTGTTTTTTGTTTTTGTAAACGGCGCGATCATGTCTGGGGCCCGACAAACCTCGGACCTCGAGTTGGATGAAATCGGGCCTGTCCCTCTCCATGGGGAATATGCAGAAACAGTCCAATAATAGTATGAGGACGATTTTGTTGGACCATTTCTGGGCACATTTTTGGGGTACTTTTGATTTCTCGTCCAAAACCCCCCTGTAGGGGGGGGACACGCCCGACTTAAGAGTTAGTCGGCACGGACGACATGGGTACTGAAAGACTGGGTACCATGCCCAACAACA